TTGTGTGTGTGTCTGTGTGTGTTTGTATGTGTGTTTGTATGTGTATTTGTGTGTGTGTCTCTGTGTATGTACCTGTGTGTATATGTGTATGTGTGTAGGGCAAACAATGACAATAAGAGAAACAAAACAAACAAAGCCCAACCCTCAAACCCAGTTTTTCTTTCTCTTGGGAGACGAATGGGTGTGTAAATAGTGAGAATAAAACAGGAACTTTCATAACACACCACCCGCTAACTTGAGTTTTCAAATAGGCTACTTTTTAAAAAGCCCTTATAAAAGATAGAGCGGATACGGCTTGGGGCCTGTGTGACTAGGTGCCCCAAGATGATGCCACGGGCTGCTACCAAAGACTCCATCCTTGCAGATGCACTTATAAAATAACTTTATTGGTCAGGTTAGCCACCATTCATGCTTGCTTCGCTGAGGACCCTTTATAGAGACATGATGGTGTTCGCATGCAGGAGCTTCCCACGAGCCCCGGGCAGGGCAACCTTGCTCCACGCGTGGCGCTCCCTGGTTGAAACAAGCTGGTTTGGCTTTTGTGGATTTCAGGTTTTGGAACCGATGACACAGTCTAAGCACCCTGCCCCAACCTGTCTTTTTCAGAGAAGCTTGCTCCTAAGTGCACACAGAGTCAGGAGTCTAAGGCATCTGGGCAGGGACCCACAACTGATTCTTGCCACTGGCTACCTAGATGGTGCTATCCCAGTGGGGTCTAGAAGAATCTGTTGGTTGTACCTAGGCAACATCACCTTTAAAAAGGAGAATACGGGGTTGCTCTCAGACAAACTACAAATCACAGGCACCGTCGGGCATAAGGGCTCCATAATATGAAAGCAGAGGGAGCCAGGCCTAGTGTAGGCAAGACTTAGGCCTGGCCAGGGCTTCTTGTACCCAAGGGAGCATCTCCAATAGAGCTGGTACCTTAAACTTGAGCTTCAGGGATAAGCCAGTTATTGAGATTACCCCCTAGTCTGGGTTAGCAGGTAGGTCCTCAGCTGGTGGAGTCTGCCTCTGCTATCTGTATAACAATCCTTCAGACTTGGATCAAAGGATAGGCAGAGGCTCTTTCTCATGGTTTGAAGACCACACTTACCCCTTCGATACTAAAAGCCCAAGAAGGAGTGCAGATGGTATTGGGTCAGATGAAACCGGAGAGGGGGCTTCTCCTTCAGTTCTGCTCTTCTGAGGTGTGAGCCTTCCCTATCTTATTATGGATACTGGTAATGACCACTGGACCCTTCCCTCCTCTGACAGAGCCTCCATTATAAAGCTGGTTATCCCCTCTGCTGTCAAGTCGTGACTGCCGATATTATGCTGTTCAATATGGTGACTTTAAACAGCTGAGGTTGGGTGTGTGTGTGTGATGATTTTAAGACATCCTTTAAACCTCAGATAAAATAGTGTGACCTTTCTCCACAGGTTGTTAAAAGCTACCCACAGGCCTTGGGCTGTGTGTGTCTCCTGACTGCCTAAGACATTAGAAGAGGCCTCAGTGAAAGTGGGCAGAGAGGGTGAGCTGGGCAAGAGGTATGTTTGATGTTTTGAGGAGCAAGGAGTAGGAGCCCAGAGCAACTGCAGAAGCAGCTGGCCATGCTGTTGAGCATAGCTCAAAACGTCAGATTGTCTGGAAATGGTTATACGCTATTATCCAAGCAAGGTAATGGTCTGCCAGACTAGGTCATGGGGAAGGTTGAGGGATAGTAAGATTTTAGGGCTAGTCTCTATGGCTATTTCTTTTACCACCACGTTCATCATCCCCTGTAGAAACTGGCCTGGCCCCTTATCCCACCTAACTTTGCCTATTGGAAGGAGACTGAATAAGATCCTGTGGACTTCTGTCACATGCTTGTCCCAAACCATCCAGCAAAAGCCAAACCAGATCTTCAAGCCGAATGCAGCAGGGTGGCAGAGCGTGTGCCCGGAGCCCGGTGCTCAGTACCCGGAGCCCAGAGCCCAAAGCCCAAGGCGAAGCCCCTCAGATCTCGATGAGGCTGGCGAGGCGCAGGCAGAGTGGGGCGTCCACCGGCATAGCGCTACGCTTGATCTCGTTCCCATCCAGGCGTAGCACCTGCAGCTTGGAGAAGTTCATGACGTCCACCACCGTGCAGAAGCTGCTGATGGAGAACTCTAGGGGGGACGAGAAGGGTGGGCGGGTGAGAGAAGCCCAGCTTAGGAACCAGATACAAAATAGGCACAGAGGACCCCTTTGAATCCGCTGAAATAAAGAATGACGACTGGACTGGGGCTGGGGCGGAAGAGTTGAGACGGGGGTGGGGGGCTAAAGTATTCTAGAATTGGAGTCAGACGGATTGGCACTGATGGGGACCGTGCTGGGAACAGAGCTGGTCGGTCCTGTGTGAGCTCAACCTACTACTCCCTTGTTCCCCTCTCTGCTTTGCTCCCCAAATGTCCCGGGTTCTTTCTTTTTGTTTTCCCCTGTCTGTGGGCAGCAGGGGGAAGCAGAGTGTAGGTGGAGCTCACAGCATCTCTGAAAGCTTGGCTGCTTCTCGAAGGATGGCTTTGCCTGATGGCTGCGCACCACAAGAAGGCTGCTCCGGGAATGGGGGCACACCATTCATGAACATTTCCTGTCATTTTGCAGGTACAGAAAGTAGTAGGAAGTGAAAGAGAGAAATCTTGGCCTTAGAGATGAGTACCTGGGTGCCGGAGCTTTCAGGGGGCTGGAAGGAGAGGGCAGGCTGGAAATGCCAAAGTCAAATAAATAGCCAGGTGTGGTGGCAAGCAGATGTCTGTGAGTTCGAGGCCAACCTGAACTACATAATGAATTCCAGAACAGTTAAGGCTACACAGAGTGACCCTGTCTCAATACATAAATAAATAAAATCCTAAACCAAACAAAATCAAACGAATAATTTCCCTGCCCCCTTGTATGATCGCATAGGCCTTTTTTACTTTGAGGGACAGACAGGGTCTCATATAGTCCAGACTGCCCTCAAACTTACTATGTAGCCAAGCATAGCCTCAGACTCAGATTCTCCGGTGTCACCTCCTGAGTGTGGGTTGCATCAGTGTGTACGTCACACCTTGTAGCCTGCCTCATTTATTTAATTTTTTTTCTTTTCAATTTTTATGTGTGTGTAGTACGCACATGTGTGTATCATGTGTGCATATACTGCAACACCTGTGTATGCGTGCACATATGTATGTGAGGCCCAAGGCTTGTGTCAGGGATTCTCATCAACTGCTCACCCTCACTGGGCTGAGTCACTCAATCAAACCCAGAAGGTAGCTCTACTCTCGGTAAGTAGCTATCTTGCCTTAGGGATCATTTGTCTTCTGAGGTTAGAATTACAGACTGTCACCACCACCAGGGGACTGTTCCAGCTTTTGAAGCCCTGCCCCCTACAAGCCCTTCACAGGCCCTGAGTGTCCTGTGTGCCCTACCCAGAGACCTTGTAGGTTCGGAGGATCTGAACTTTGGACGGGTGGGGGTGGGGGTGGACAGGGACAGAGCCATCCTCCTAGGCTGTGACTTCTTTTTACTCTCAGAAGTCTCTGGGGACTCTTTTATAGAAGAGTTCCCCCAAAGCCATGAAACAGATATGGTAGTTCTGGGTCATCTCAACACAAAGCTTGCCACAGCTGTCTCTGCTGTCCTCTCGGATGAGGTCACAGTCTACTGTCAGGAATTTGAAAGGAGAAGAAGATAATCAAGATCCCAGTTCAAACTCCCAAAGTGACCGGAAGTCCTCACTGGAGGCCATGACTCCTGTCAGGGCTACCTTCCTTGCACTCGGCCCTCCAGAAGGCCACTCATCATTTTCTGTGAACTGGGTTAGAATGAGGTGGCATGTGTGTATGTGGGGGGGCGGGGAGTGGGGTCTGACATGAACATCATTCATAGATACCATGCTGGCATCTGAGAGCCAAGTGTAGAACAGGGCTGGCTTTGTTCCACCAGAGACTTTCCTCATCTTGCAAAGGTGTCTAGAACTATAATCAGAATCGATCTGGTAGTAGCTAATCCACTTTTAGAGACAATGGGGGTTCCTCCCGGGGGAGGTAGGGAGTGTGAAAGTTAAAGTTCCCAAGAAAGACGGCACAGAAGGCTGAGGAGGAGCGTGGTTTTGAATTAGCACTGCCAGTTGCTTTTTAGTCTCCACCAAGAACTACACAAGATGGGTTGGTATGCTGTAATAAACCAAGTTGCACTGCATACAAACACAGAAGTCAGGCCCAGAGAAGAATTAGGTCCTGGGAAGAGTAGGACCACAAAATACGCTATGAGGAGGAGCAGACTATCTGAGATGCTTTTTGGTGTTTCCCTTCTGGTCCTTGGGAAAAGATTTAGTGGGTATAGTGCAGGTGGGACTGGGTCTGCTATCTGTGTAAAGGGGCCAAGGGGACACGAGGTGACCGAGCTTCATTTGTCACTTTCAGTTCTATTTGGGACTGAGCTAGAGGTTCAGACATGGAGCCTGAAGACTGTGCAAGCATCCAAGCTCCCAGTTGTGGGCACATACATGTGAACCATACCTGTGAGCCACTAGACACAGCATTTAGTTCAGATATTCATGGGGGGCTCTAAGAGCATCCCTCCACACCTTCCTCAAGCCCACAGCAGGTCAGGGCTTCTGTCAGGAAGCTCTGGCAGACATTTTTCCAGCCCAGATTAAATACTGAGTCTTTCCAAATTTCAATTTCCAGTCCTGCCCCACTCCACTGGATCCCACAGCTTCCAAATAACATTCCATGGCTCTGTCTGCTCCACCACCCTCCTCCTGCCAGGTTGGAAAATCTGAGGGAGGTATTGGAGGGAGGTGTGTATGTGTGTGTGTGTGCATATGTATGTGTGTGACTGCTATCTAGTCTCCTGAAGGCCCGGAGCTCCTGTTCTGATGGCTCCCCCTTATCACACCTTTACCCCAACATGGTCACTGGCTGCCAGTGCAGGAATACCTCCTTCCTGGTTACCCAGAGTGTATGGTAGGCAAACTAGGGAGCCATTTCCTGTATCAGAGCTGGGTTGTCCCTGTTCTCAGTCAGAGATGTCTGGCTTTAGGTCCTTTACAAAAGGCAGGGGTTGGGGGATTCTACCTTCCTTAGTCTGGGTGGCCTGGAACATGGCTTTTCTTTTACTGTCCCCATCATGACAACTCAGAAAACAAGCCCCCAGGCTATGGCTGTGGACTCTAAAATGACAACAAGAGGGTAACTGGACACTGAGTTACCAGGTACTGACTGTGAGGTTGCACCAGGTCCTCTGGATCGTGTGCTCTGCACGCGCGGCTTACTGATTTGAGAATGAAAGGCATGGGGGTTACTTTGCTTATTAAAGAGAAACTGAGAGAGAGAGAGTTAGGAATAACAAGGAAGGAAGGAATTAGGTCCAAACCTGGCTCGTAGGGATTTGGGGTAGCTGGTGACATTTCCCAGGGGTTTGAACAGAGCTTTCTTGCAGGGCCTCCGGACAACTCAGTGGATAACTTACTTTCCGATCAGCTTTTGGGAGAGAGGCTGCCTTGTATCTGACTGGATATTTCTGCATAAAGACATAAGAGTGACTAGACGCTGTGACAAAGTCTATCCTTTCTCTCTCCTATCTCTCTGATTTGAGAGTTAGACACTGGCTCACGCGCTGTTTCCCAGGGTGCCTTTCTGCCACATGTTCAGAGGTACAGCATATGGTGTGACATTTCGTATAGGATAGCTCTTCTGGATCCAGAGTCTGTGGCAGGCGACTGCGGGATGGGACATAAAGCTGTGAGAAGATGCCAAACTCTGGCAGTGTGTGATATCTTTAAGGCAGATTAAATGACTCCCACTTGGGACTAACAGGACTCTTCCCCCAAAAGAGAGACTTTAAGTAAAAGCCAGCCTAGGAGGTGTGTAACAGTGCCTTGCTGTTCAAATGAAAAGACCAGAAAGATAGCTTTTGAGTTCAGAGCCCCATTGCAACCTCCCCTACTCCCCCTGAGGAAGGCTGTCTGGTTGTTAACATCTTGTTAAATGACTGATCTGTCTCCTGAGAAGAGAGAGGGAGCAAGAGAGGACCGGACTGGCTCTCCATGTGCTTTGTTGGCTCATTCCTTCTCAGCAGGCTGAAAGAACTTCAAAGCCCACTGCCTGGCCCTTCCAGGCCTCCCTTCCTCAGAGCAGAGGACTGAGCCACAGAGGGAGGGAGGCTAAATGCTGGCACAGGGGTACTTTCCAGCTGAGAGCAAGACATCAAAAGCCACTGGGGTAATGCAAGCACGCTCTGAACATCAGATCCTAACGGAAAGAGACTGAAAGGCCTCTAGTCAATCATAAATTCATTTTTTATCTCTCAGTCTCAGAGAGGTAGTCCTGCCTGTACAGGGATGTTCTTATAAAGCACACAGCCCTGTGCTCTTTCCCCGAGGTTTCTGGGTGGCCAGGCTCATGCTGCCTCAGAGAGACCTTTGCCTTGCCACCAGGAGCTCCTCGGACTCCAGGGAGAACCGGCGAGAAGTCCCACATTCAGTTCTGGGAGGGCTGCCCATTTTCGTTCATCAACTGCTAAGTTTGAAAAACAAACAGCAAAACAGGAGACTAGCTGTGCAGGCGGGAGTCATGTGTGTGTGCGTGTGCGTGCGTGTGTGAGACAGTCTGCATCCTCTGGTGACGGTAAGGATGCTCAGGGACCTTGGCTTCTTACCAGCCCAACCACCCACTAAGGCAGATCCCAACACCAAGTCTCTGTGAATATCCGTCCCTCAGAGCAGTGCTTCCCAGCCTTCCTGATGCTGTGACCCTTTAATACAGTTCCTCATGTTGTGGCATCCCCCAACCGTAAAATTATTCTCATTGTTACTTCATAACTGTAATCATGCTTCTGTTATGATTCATAATCAGATATGCAGGATATCTGATATGTGACTCTTGTGAAAGGGCCATTCAACACCCTCAGGGGCTGAGACCCACAGGCTGAGAACTCTGCTTGAAAGTTTCTTTAAACTTTTCTTAGTGTTCCTACACCGTGCCTCACCAGCTGCCTCCAACCCATGATTTGTTAAGTGGCTGGCTCTTCCCACCAATTCCCCATGCTAACTGTCTTCATCCCGCCTCCCTCCAGCCCATGTGCTCACCTTGAGGGTCTTAGACTGAGTCTTGCTTCTCCTAGGATGTGGAATTTGTAGTCACCTCTCTTACCTCGCTGGAGGACCAGTGTGCACCTAACTGACTACAGGGCTTTGGCCGTTAGTGTACAAGATCATTTGTTTCCCTATGCTTATCTTTTTGGTGTTCCCATTAGCATGCAAGGAGTTCCCTCCCTCCCGGACCTCACCATTGATCCTGTTGCCCTGGAGGTAAAGGTTCTCCAGGTTGGTGTTGACAGGAGGGATCTTCTGCAGCTGGTTGTAGGACAAGTCTAGCTCGAGAAGGCTGCTGGAATTGAAGGTGTTGGTAGCAAGGCCGTTGTTAGTGAGACTGTTGTGTGACAGCCGGACATACAACAGCTTGGGGGACCCCCGGAAGTAGCTGTCAGGGACGGTGTACACATTGTTGTGTTCTAGGTACAGCTGCTCCAGGGCTGAGGGCAGACCATCAGGTACTCTCCGAAGGTGGTTATAACTCAGGTCTAGTAGGATCAGGGACCGGAGGCCTCTCATGGAACTTCCTACTTCCTGGATCTCATTGTGGTGGAGATATAACGCCGTGAGGTTCTCCAGGCCCTCCAGAGCATTGTTGGGGACCCGTGAGATCTGGTTGTGATCCAGGTGGAGCTCTCTCAGGGATCGAGGCAGCGGGCCGGGCATCCGGGTCAGGTTGTTGTGGTCCAGGTACAGCCTCTCCAAGTGCCTCAGCTTGGAGAAGACCCTCCTGCCTACCTTGTCACTGGTAATCTGGTTGCCGTGTAGAGCGATCCAGAGGAGCCCGGTGGCATTGTCAAAGACACCTTCCTGGATGGCAGAGATCTGGTTGTTCTGGAAGTAGACATACTTCATGCGGGAGGGCACAAAGGGCAGGTACTTGAGGTTTCGGTTGTCACAGTACATGGCTGTGGGGAAGTTGGGGGGACAGTCGCATTCTTGGGGACAATCACGGGGCTCTGGCGGAGGTGGTGCACCATAGGCATAGGCTGGACCTTCCTCAACTCCATAGGGGTAAGGCTCGGAGGGCTCGTAGGGGTAAGGGTCGTAGGGGTCATAGTAGGTGGACTGCTGGTTTCGGAGGTATTGGATCCACCAGTGAGAGTCTTCATCATACTGGCCCTGGGAAAGCGAGAAGAGCCCGGCCAGCAGCAGGATCGAGGCCCACTGCATTTTGTCTCTGCAGAAAGGGAGAGGACAGAGCAAGAGGGGGCATGAGTGAAGGTGCAGAGGGGCAGTTGGGTGGCTTAGGCTGGCCATAGGCTCTGAGCCATGCAGATGATGCTGTGACTACAGTCAAGCACCGGAGGGCAGGAGCTGACCCCCCAGGCGCCTCCTCCCACTGGCTCTGCACACCTGTGGAGCTGGGCCTGGGTATCCGGGGACGTCAGTGTTTTAGCTTCTGGTCTTGCAGCAATGAAAAGAGCCTGAGAGGCGTGGGCTGCAGTTTTGGGGAGGACCGGGCCTTCTCATCTTCTAGCACCAGAGGCTCCGTTGTTGAAGCTGAGAACCTTGCAGTCTCTCTGCCTGTCCCCTCCCCAAATTATAGACCTTCCTGTATATGGTGGGATACTTTGAGGCCTGAATTCCTATCTAGTTTGGACTCGCAGGGAAATTTTTTTTCTGCAAGTCCAAGGACAAGAGTCTCCTAGTTCTTCCCGTATCCAGGAAGCCCCCAGACAGGACTGAGACTTCAAAGGGGAATAGTTGAGCTACTTCTTGAAGATCCTTTGGGTCTCGTGGGCAAGCCTGGGGGTTTGTGGTCCTGAGTGTGTGGGAGGGTGTGGCTCCCCTGTGGCCACCACAAGGTCTGGGCTACTCTCCAAAGTGCCATCGCCTGTGAGTCGTCTGGGCGAGAAAAACGCACTGGTTAGCAGCTTGTGGCTGAGTGTGCAGCCAGACTTCAGTCTTTCCAGACTGGGAACCCAGTATGGCTCTAATGATTGTCTTCTGGGCTGACTGTACTGTGTCTAGTCTGGTCTGCTTCTCTCTTCTGTGGTCCTGAAGACTGAAGGACTTAACACTCCTCTCACCCACCGTGGGGCTTTCAAGAGCCATGTGAGAAGCAACGGAAATAAATTAGGGATACTGAGAACGGGAATAGAAATGGAAGGGAAGGAGGGAAGCCAGGTGGGGGGATTAGTGTCCCTTTTTCAGACAGGGTCTTCCTACACTGCTTTGGCTGTCTTGGAACTCACTATATAGACCAGGCTGGCCTTGAACTCCCAGAGATCCACCTGTCTCTGCCTCTTGAGTGCTGGAGTTAAAGGCATGTGCCACATTTGGGGTATACCTTCTCTTCTTCTAAGCTACCTCCTTCAAGTGATGTCACCTGGCTTGCCAGGCTCAGTTGGCATTCACACTGCTGAGGACCCTGCTTCATTAGAGCTTGCTAGCAAGACAGACAAGGCACGGTGGGGCCTCCAGAAAGGAAACTGCAGGTGTAGATAGATGGTGGGGGAGCGGGGGTGTCATATTTGACCTGGGTACTCTACCCAGGCTCCTATGGCCAGTGCACGGCATCATCCCCTAGAGAAGGGGGACCTCCCGGACACAACTATTAAGACAAAATGCTTAGAACCTCTCCTGGTGCTCTCGCCATTGGGCTGTGCTGGGATTGGCAGCTGTGGACAGGACAGTTCTATGAACTGAAGAAAGGAGACCCAACTACGACAGTCCAACTACTCCATTTCTGGGCAACATCCCTGTTGGGCCCTTCTGTTCCCTCAAAACAGTTCCCTTATGACTTTTCATCCCACCGTTCCCTGGATGGATCAGGACGGGCACCCTGGCTCATCCCTGGGCAGCCACAGTCCATGAACAAAGAGCCACAGTGTTTCTGAGGAGCAGACTCAACTGCCCACTGCCTAGGATGCTGGCTGGTCCCTGACTTGGGCCAGGAGAGAAGACGGATGGAGCGGCCCATTGCCAAGAGAGCATTTTTCCATGCACAGCCCTGGGCTGCTGCAGGACCGACCAAGGTGACTGTTTAGAGAGGGCTGGCACACTAAGCCTCTGTCCATTTTGTCCCTCTTCCAGACTAGGCACTTTGGCAGAAGGGGACTACCTTCTTCTTCAAGGCTCAGCCTTCCATGAGACTCCATGCCCAGCCACAGTGGCCTCTCCTCAGAGGTATGGCTGCTGGAAGGGCTTAGTAGGAGTGCAGTCCTGTCCTTATCCCACCTGATCTAGCATGTGGCTTCAGGGTTGCATACCCTTAAATGGTTACTTATGCTAGAGACCCTCTGTTCAGTGTGAAGATTCCAGGAGTGATTCTCTCCGACTTGGAGATCCTGTCTCAGGTGCTAGGAATATACTATTTTGTTTCTTCACTCTGGGGAGAATCTCTCCTATCAGAGCTGAGGTCAAACTGAAAACCATCTCCTAGCCTGAGTGGTCCACCACTCCGTCCATGACTCCTTGGATCAACTTTTTATTCTCTCCCTTTTATCCCAAGAACACACATGTCACACAAAGCTTGCACTCTAACATTTGGGCACCATGCCCCTCTCTAAGAGATTTCTGGGACAGAGACTATTCTTCAAAGTGCCCCAAGTCCCAGCATGTTAGAACTCATGGGTAGCAACCGAGAGGCTTTGCAATTTTCTTCATGTTTTCATGTCAGTGAAACAGAGGCCCCCGACACACACAGGGAGCTGTAGGAGACAGGTAAAGTGCCAGAGCCCATGCCCCCTGCCGTTGCCTCTCTTCAGCATCACTGGAAGGCATGGACCAGGTGGGAGGAAAAACTCATCTCTGCCCACTCTTCTCCCCAGCCTTGTCCTTCCCCCTTGTTTCTCTTCAGAGAACTGCAAGGCATCAAACTTAGAGAAATAGGACCACACTTACCTTGGGTTGAAGTGTTCAGAGTGACCACGTCCTTCTGTCTGGCTTCCTTGGGTCGGAGGATGTGGAGAGAGAGAAAAGAGAGGAGTGAGTGCCTACGGAGAGTGTGCAAGTCTGTGCCAGGCCAGGCCCCGCCCCCAAATTCCTAATCAAACATCTTGAAGAGGGGCTGAGGAGCCTAAGCTGGCTTTTTCAATCCCATAAGGGGAGGAGCTCACACTCAGCTCTGCAAAATTCCGTCTGACCAAGGCTGTAAAAACCACCTTCTTTCCACTGGGTTATCTTCCCTGGAGCATTGGCAGCCTGAAGTCTTTTGCTGCTGAATGAGTTAGCGATGCCCCAGAAGTTATTTCTGCAGTTTCTTGTGCGGTGCCTGGATTTCTCATTAAGCCCATAAAGCAGACACAGGAGAGGGAGGGCCAAGGTTTGGAGAAAGAGCTTTTTAACTCTTTCAGCAATCCTGGTCCTCTCAGGGAGCCTATACTTATCTTTCTTGGCTGGAGCACCCTGTGTAGCCAGATGTTAGACTAGTGCGTGGGAGAACACGCTGGATGGAGGGCTTGCTCTGGCTCCAGTTGATGGCGACCACGGAGACCTTTCTGCCACGGGAACAAATGGAAAATCAGGGACTCTAACTATTATGCTTTACGAATGTGGAATACCTAAACCACGGGAAGATGAAGCTAGAGAGATGGGCTGGCTCTAGACAGTGGGGAGGTTTGAAGAGCACAGAAAAGATTTTAGCCTAAATGTTTATGAAGGAGACTTACTAGAATCTGATATACCTTCTGACAAGGTTTTATTTTATGTGTATGAGGAGTGTTTTGTCTGTGTACCACACGCATGCAGTGCCCATCGACCCCAGAAGAGGGCATCAGATCTCCTGGAACTGGAGTCAGAGATGATTGTGAGCTGCTATGTGGGTGCTGGGAATTGAATCTGGGTCTTCTGGAAAAGCAATCAATGCTCTTACCTGATGAGCTGGAGAAAGTCAAACATGACTGAATTTTAATTCAGTCCTTGGGTGGACAGTAGCACCACTACACAGTGTGGAAAGAGACGGAAGGCTAGAAAACCTAAGTTACACTTTGGATACGCAAAGTTAGATGCCGCTTAGACATTCCAGGGAAGAGGCAGGCGGGCTTCTGGATCTGAAACTGAATTTGGAATTGAGGGACTAGGGGAAAACCCTCGAGAACCACAAGACTGGCTTACATTCAGTCTAGTTAGCTTAGCCATAGGTCTAAATGCTCTTTCCTCAAGTTCCTGGCTCATATCCACACTCAAGAAACACCCTTTAATTTAAAGAAATACAAAGAGGGAAACTCTCAGAGGGTCTGACTTTGGAAAGTTTAGAAGTGTCTGGACAAATGGAGCATTCAGTTGAGCTGTTGTTGAGTTAGTGAAAGGCATGCTGGGAAGGGGCATGTCTCCTACACTAAAGAGTCTGTTTTGTGGGAGCTGGACAGATGGCTCAGTGGTTAAGAGCACTGACTGCTCTTCCAGAGGTCCTGAGTTCAATTCCCAGGAACCACATGGTGGCTCACAACCATCAGTAATGAGATCTGATGTCCTCTTCTCGTGTGTCTGAAGACAGCAACAGTGTACTCTCAAGAGTCTATTTTACATTTGTCATCTTATTTAATGACCACTGTATCATTTTGCACTGGAAATAGGACTTCTGATGCAGGGTTACTGACAGGGAAGAGGCACAAAGAGTAAGGGTATGAGTTCAGTCTACATGACTTCACAATATACATTTTTCTATAACTCCAGACCAGCAAATTGGCAGGGTGGAAGGGTGGTGACCATTCTGTTATCATGGCTGGGCTCACATATGGTGACACTCAAATAATCATAGCCATCCTCTGTGCTGAAGCCAGGGTGTGTAAGGATGAGAGGATGCTGAGTGACAGGGGTTCCTTTACTTACATGTAGTAAAGAGGAGCAGCCACCCTGCATCAGGTATGGTCCTAAGTGATGGGACACAGAAGGCCTCAGTGTAACTCGTGCTCCCAATAAAAGCATGTCTGATTTTGCCGGTAAGACAGAGTGGCATCGGGAGTTGAAAGGATAGTTCCAAGGTTGAGAACACTGGCTGCTCTTGCAGAGAGTCTCGGTTCAGTTCCCAGCACCCACTGGCAGCTCACAGCTGTAATATCAGTTCCAGGAGACCTAACACCTCCTTTTGGCCTCTGTCGGCACCACACACACATGCACAGCTCACACACACACATGCACAGCTCACACACACACACATGCACAGCTCACACACATACATGCACAGCTCACACACACACATGCACACACAAATGAAGAGAAGAAGATGGAATGGCCTCAATGTGAGGAGAAAAATGAACAGACGATTTTCTAATCAATGAGAACTTCTCTGCAGTGGACATTGGTCTTGCTGACTGGACTTAGTTGACACTTCTTATCTCCTCCTCCTCCTCTTCCTCCTCCTCCTCCTCTTCTTCCTCCTTCTCCTCCTCCTCCTCCCCTCCTCCTCTTCCTCCTCCTCCTTCTCTTCTTCTTCCTCCTCTTCCTCCTCTTCTGTATCCTCTTCCTCTCCTTCCTCCTTCCCCTCCCCCCTCCTCTTGGAAACAGGGTTTCTCTGTGAAGCCCTGGCTGTTCTAGAACTCACTTTGTAAATCAGGCTGGCCTCAAACTCAAAGATCCACCTACCTTTGCCTCCCAAGTGCTGGGATGAAAGGTGTATGCCACCACTGCTCAGCCAGGCGACACTTCTTAGATGGTCCCCGATAGCTCTGGAACCTACCATGTACAAATGTTTATTTCGTGAAATCCCAGCATCCCAATGAAAACTACGTTTACTAACAATGCAGATCCATAAGGGACAATCAACGGGAATTCTTTCCACAAGTGCTCTGTTAAAGAAGTGTCTGACCAGTGAGCTCTGCACCCGGCCTTCATTCCCCCACTACTGAGGTGGCCTGCAGGAAGCCTGGAGCAGATGATTTTGAGGCAGAGTCCTGAGGACCATGCGCTGTCCAAAGTGCCTTGTTGTGACTCCAAGAGGAGGCTCTAACCTCTACTTTGATACTCTGTTGTTCTGGATCTGAGATGTAGGACCCCAGTGCTTGGCTTCTATATGGGAAGCCAAATACAGCAAACAGATGCCCCCTGGGATGCAGAGAGACTCCATATGTAAGGATTCCATGTGTGAAAAGGGTGTTCTCTTGAAGGTGTTGAGCCAACACTGTCCAGTTACTGCAAACTGAAGAGATGGTCATAATATTCACTCAGTGTCTCCTGCCCCTAGATGGACATTTAAGGGACTTAGTAGACATTCAGTAATTTGGAACTGAAGTTTGGGCTACCCACAGAGTGTCTTCAGTAATCAATCCTGGGTGGAGTAACCATTACCGACCGGGCCAGGAAAACTCTTGTCTTTCAAGCCAATTAGATTTTCCAGGGGTGCAGACCACTGTCGTTTCCTTCCTCCCCAGAAAAGGTCAGGTTAAACCACAGCCACCAGGCACAACTGATTGCTTCTGATGTTGGACCAACCCATCTAGGAGGGATGAAATTGCTTGTGACTCAAATCACACCAGTAAAGAGGTGGTGGCTTCAAATCCTTGTCTTTACTCCCCAAGGGACCTGTGTTAGTGACCTAGCCTTTGATCCCAGACAACCCAGCAATGGAGGAAAGGCAAAAAGTCCATCCAAGTGAGATTTTTGACCAGACTTAAGGAGGTCAGTAGGAAGACAGCCATGCTAACACAATCCAGGCCTTCTGGCCTATCCCAGAAGCCTCCTGACGCCATAGAGGGAATTTAACTTGTCTGATATTTCAATGGAAAATCTCAGTTACACTGGTACAACAAACAATGGTGCCCCAAAAGTTTCCAGGAGAGATGTTTTCCCTATCCGCTTGGCACTGAGGCCTCATTAAGAGCCTTCAGACAGTCTTCTCTGCCCAGAAAGATGAGCCCATTATGATGTTGAAGCAGGGAAAAACTTGTATCCCTTCATCTGGAAGAGGAGCAAGACCTCAATTCTAAGTCCTAGGAGATTCTCTGAGGGTTCCAGAAGTTGTTCTACCAGTCTGTGTAAGATGACAGAGGGGGCCTCGACTGTGGCACCAGGTGTCACTGAGATACCTTGAACACCCACCATACTGTTGGTATGGCAGAATTGTAAGGCATGGCAGTAGGCCCCAGGCAAGGGAGCAATGGACTCCTCCTGGCCAGTGCCCCATGCTGCTCTTTCCTGGTCAAGGCGACCAAGTGATGGGCATGGGTCATGAGAGCATCTGTGAACACTATGGCCTCAGTAAAGCCACCTACTTTAGCTGGTGGGCTAGTTAGGACCTGTTGGAGCTGAGCCTGCCCTGGCTGCCGGAGGATCAGACCACACTATGAGCAGATGCTCTACAAGCTTTGTGGCTCACTAGTTGCCATTTACTAACCAGCAGCCACAGCACCTTGTGAGGTTGCTGAGAGTTAAGTTCTTCCGTCTAGGTTTCAGTGTGGGAGGATGTGCAGTCTTAGTGTTTGCAGAGTCAGTGAATTTTCTGAAGGGCTTTATGCAGCAAGTGTCCAAGCTAAGACCATATAAGAAGCATCTAAGACTGCCCCCAGTAGGATGTTGCCTGTTCTTGGCCAATGCCAGACCAAGTTCACCTTTACCCTCTTGGGAATCCAAGAACATTGCAATTCTTTGGCATGGAGTTCCTTGTGTGTGAGAAAGCTAACTGTCCTCTTCCTGACTGTAGGATGATTTCAGGACACCTCGGAGCTCTGCAATTTTTCTGGAAGAATTTCTCTAAGCATCACTTCAGATGCACGAGGACACGGCCAGTGAGTGGTGGCATCCGTACACCCTTTATGGAGTTAATTGTGGAGTCCCAAGTTCTAGAGATGATTGACACCAGGAAGCCTCTGGATCTGTTCAGTCCACATCAACAGGAGTAACCACATGCGTATCCAACACATGCTGAAGCTGCTAGGGCAGTAGGTTGTCTCCTAGACGAAGTAGAAGCAGACGGTGCATACCATGCATGAGAGGCAGAAGGGTACCCAGCTTCACAGCACACGTGAACTGGACCCCGGGCATCAGC